ATGATGTTCTGATTTGGACAATCTTTTCTTACAGATTACTGACAGGGTCTATTCTTGCGCATGAAATGATGCATGCATGGCTACGACTTCAAGGTGCATTTTCTTATCTATCTACCCATGTTAATTAAAATATTTATGTTTGTGAAGAAAGTGGTTGGACATTTTGATCCATTGAAAAATTTTTGGTGAAATTACACTCAACCTTCAAAACTGCCTATTCACAACAAAATTGTAGAAGAAAAAATGAACCATCAGAGCTGCGTATTTGCGTTTGTCATGATCGGATCATTGAAAATTTGACAAAAGTAAAAAAGAGATGGGGCGAATATTGTAAGACTGGCGAGCACTTGAAAATTGTGTGGTAAGACAAGAGAAAGTATTACATCCGGGCATGCTAACGCTGGCGTGAATCGCGCCACTCTGTCGAACGCATGACATGATGCGATATACAACATTAGTGGACGTAATACTTTCTCATAAGACAGATAAAGTCAAATTTCAAATTATTATTCATAGAATTGCCCCTCTTGTTTTTTTTGGCGATAACCAATAGGTTATGGAGGCCTCAGTCCAGAAGTGGAAGAAGGCATTTGTCAGGTTCTAGCTCACATGTGGATTGAATCTGAAATCATGTCTGGCTCTGGGAGCGATTTTGCTTCTTCTTCGTCGTCAACTTCCTCGTCCAAAAAGACCTCAAGATCGCAATCCGAGAGAAAGCTCGGAGAATTCTTCAAACGACAAATCGAAGCAGATTCTTCTCCTGTATATGGAGATGGTTTTCGTGACGGAAATGAGGCAGTGATCAAGTATGGTCTCAGGACTACTCTTGACCATATAAAGTTGACTAAAAATTTTCCATACTGATTATATAAAAGCCTGATTTTTTCTCTTCATGTAAGTTCCAAAGCTCAGACTTTTGAGTTTTCCATTCAGCAATGACTGCATAAACCAAAGTTAACATAGAAAAATGATATGTTAGGTTTACATATTATTATTTGGACTAATCATTTGTTCTGAAAATTTAATATATATAGTTTATAGTGAATAAAGCTGTTGTCATCATTTTCTATGCTCCTATTTTTCTTTGGAAAATATTTCATTTGCATGAACTTAGTTGAAGAATATTTTATGTTATATATGTCATGCTTAAAGTATCATATGTCAAGTATAGTCATGAACAAATATCAATCTACATTTAAGTTGTCATCATAGCAACTAGAGAGCCAACGTAATTCATGTATCGAAGATGTATGCATAACATCCAATTCTTATATTGTCTTGGCGCAACCCGGGAGCTTGGAATTACTAAGACAAGAACTGTTGGTCAGACAGAGAAAAATTATCTAACAGTTTCATTTCATAATTAAAATGAAATTCA